GCTGTTACCGAACGTTGGATCTATATCATCCGACTTTATCTGGACGGGGAATACAAGGAGCCTCCCGCAGAGCTCCTACCTCCCGTTCCCCAAATCAGACATGACTCCTCCTGCAATATATTATGACCTGACTTCTTTCATTGGATGGATGAAAGATCTGCACGTGCCTGTGCAGGCCCACGACTCAAGACAAAAACATTTATTCTTGCGCTTTAGTATTCGCACACGGTAGTCTATGATTGGGAAACAATTTCTCTAGTCAAACAGATATTTGAACTTGAGATGATTGATTTTTCAGCATGTCCCAATCCCAGTGACAAAGGTTCACAAGTAAAATCTCATCTTCCTCATTATTACGGAACTAATGACTATCACTTAAAGACATATTTATCGATATTGATAGGTCCCTTGAGCAAGAGGAGTTTCCTCCCGTTCACTCCTAATGCCAAATGGCTCTTATATCTTGTATTCCAGTGGCAAGCTGTATATGCCAAAACCGTATCATTATGATGGAATTAAGATTTGCTCTTTGTGCCTTAGAAACTTTCACCAGCGAATTCTGTTGAGGAAATCTGGAGATTCTTCCGGATAGGTCTTCCATCTTGCCATGAGGAAATAATTATCGTGATGCCATGTCTTTTAGGCAGAGTTCTCGAGAGGCTCTTGCTACAAGTTTATAATGCTGTAATTACAAATGTAAAAGAAAGATATTTCGAGTTTTTGAGTTACGGAAGATCTCATATTTCGCGACCATGCGAACTTTTCTCACGAGACCAAGTGAAAACGATATTTCATCGAATTTTATATAGGTCTATGATCCTTTCTGCATCGCTCGTATCCGTTTATTTTCGGCAACATTTCCAGCCAATTCAGTATTTTCTTTGAAATTGAAGTGGGAAAATGAAAAATTCGATCTCACTTTTCTGTTGAGCTGTGTTGTGCTCACCAAGGGACAAATGAACAAAATTAACTCGTACATCAATTTGCTAACACTGTTACACTCTTTTGCAGGCAGGAGCAAACAATACGCAAATTTATTCCCTAGAATAATTAAAAGGCAACACTATAAATATAAGAGTACCTTACAATATAGGGGTAGATGGAGCAAAGGGGGCAACTCAGATTTCAACCAAACCATGGTCAGATTTTTTCACGGGTGCAAGTTTTCAGGCACAGCGGCGCACTGTATAGTAGCTTGCAAACGCCCTAAGAGCAAAATAAGAAAACAATTTTCTTTGTTTTGGTCATTAAAAACTCGAAACAGATAAAGTAACATGGAAACCCTACGGGCGTCCGATATTTCGTTCGGCGAAAGGTGAAAATGTTAACCATTACATCAAGTCATAATATTTCCAATAGCTCACTCACTTATTTTTTGGCTGTCTTAATCATAGCCGGTGCTAGTGGGGCAAAATGGGGCGGTACAGCAGTTCCATACATCTCTTTTCCGCTGCTAGAATATCATTTACAACGATGAGACCCAGGCTGAAGGGGGGAGCGTTACAGTTCAGATTCTTTCTCACACTCAAAATCCGCTGTAGGCTGGGTAACCTGCTCTGGTTTTTTTTTTTGGAATTGGGCTTATCCGTGTCGTCATCGATGCCTGCACAGCCGTAATAAGGACGTATTTGTTTGTGACTTCTGTAAATATGCATCTATGATGAAGACACGATAATTGATACCGCAGCAATTCTTTTGCCGCAGAAGTTTCATTGGTTCCTTTCCTTAGTATTAATAGATAAGCACATGAATACATGGGAAAACGTGATAAACTGTTTCTTGTTTATTTGTAGGTGTTTCATTGCTAATTCTGTTCCTTCACCTGTGAGTGGGAATATAATGAAGACTTGAGGAAACGAGAGAAGGCATCTATTTGTTATTTGTGGATGTTTTGTTGCGGTCTCTGTTCTGTGAATTTTTTAATTAAGCATATAATAAAAACACCGGAAAACATGTATGTTTCTTATTGGTAGGTATTTCTCTGCGATTTCTGTCCTGTGACATTTAAGTCTATGTTACGAATAAAAACTTTGTAAAACACAATTTGAAGGAGTACACCGTTTTGCCCCTGTGGGACAAAACGGGGTATTTAACAAGTTCTAGAAATGTCGGGGGAAAAGACCGCCGCTGTTTTCGCGATGAGGTTGAATGCTTGTACGTAAGACATGAAAGGCAAAGCACGCCAATCTGCAACGTGCCACGCCAACTCCTGGTTCTAAATTTTGGCAGTCTCCCTTAACTCCTCCGTTTTGCCCTACTTATGATGCACTCAGAGTAAGCAACTAGATTTTCTTCGAATTTTCATGCATTGACCAGTTCCATTCCATGACGGAAAATAAATGCAATCCCAAGGGTGTGGCTAGTATGCTTTTGCAGGAGGAAACGGAATCATTGTGAAAATCATAAAGTAATTTATGACCAAGCTGAGCTCATGGCTCAGTGGGACTAGGAAGAATTGCGACTTTAATGCAGCTAACGTGCCCAACATATGAAGGGGAAAATACGTGAGTTGGCCTTCGCGATATTAACATCGTCCAAATGCATGCAAATCGATATTATCGTCAACATGTCTAAGTACATATTACTATGACATCGCTGCCATTACCTTAGATTTCCCAAAGCAACGTTAAGTCTCCCTTTTTGACCGCGGCAAATTTCGACATACCGACTCGTCGGTAGCTGAAATTAGTGTGGAAAGGTGAATAACATTGAAAGATGCCAAACGTTAATTCTACGAAGCTCCAGCTGTGAGATGACTATCCAATGTCGCGTAGAGTTCCTTTTGACCTTTTTAGCTCTGGGTACTCACCTCGTCCCCTTTCCCATGTCCTCCAGCCAACCACCAGCGCTCTCTTTGCCATTCCCTACTAGTCCGGCGCCGGGACACTCCATGGCCATGCCACTGCTTCTTCCCCTAGGAGCACGCTATAATAGACGCAGTCTTAGGTCGCATGTGTCGCCTCTCTTCTAGGCCTATTGATCTAAACTCGCGGTCGAGTTCCGCAAAGCGGTATAGTTCCGCTAAGTACTCTATATGACGCATGCATTGTAATCGTGCCTTGAATTTCCGTTCCTCCTTTTCAAAACTGCCCTCCGCTCTACGAGAATAGTCCACTTTCTTCTTTCCATTTCGAAAAACTGTCCACCATTTACCGTGCACAATCCACGCACAGTCTTCAGCATTTTTGCAGTGTCATCCTCGCCCAACGACAGCACGCGGTTCGATTTAACGTTTAGGCTAAGGCTCCATTCAGGCTTCTGGCATAAAGTGAAACTAGAGGCGACACTGTAATATTTCGACCCTTCCCTACCCCTCAGAGACATCTGGTGGCTTGTCATCAATACTTCCATGAGGCGTGCTTCGTGGCAGCCGAATCAGGAATCGACTCATTCGGAGATTCGACCCAAAGGGATCCATCAACGTAACGCGCTTGTTTCGTTGAGTCCGCTGTTAATCCATAGAGGAGTTGTTGACGTGTGCACGCTGGGTGGAGGATTGTCAGTGACATCTATTTTGCGACCCTGTCAATGAATGGGATTCGAGCGGAGTGGAGCCTCTTGTTTAATTTTCTACACTATGCTTCTAGTCGACAAATTTCGACGTTAACGTTTAGGCTATGAATTGTATTCTATGCACTAACTTCTTTAACGCAACCTTTCCGTGGGAGTGTTCGGTTATCCGAAAAAAATAGGTTATCCGAACCACCCCCGGTCCCAATTAGTTCGGATAATCGGCGTTCTACTGTATTAGGCCAAGATGCTTACATTCCGGTGCGTTGAAGCCCTTCAATACATTTTTAAATTATTTAATCAACTGAAGAATATGAATATGAAGAATAACTTGTCAGAATATGGAACCCATTTCACTAAAGTATTTCCTTTTACCCTTTACTTCCCTTTCTTATTTTGTCTTTTCTAAATAAACATAATCTTTGAGGTGAGACTTTCGCAGCTCTTGCTCGTAAGAAGGTTCCTTTTGCTCTCTAGGTCTTTCTGATCTTTAAACGATAGGTTTGGTTTGGCTTTTAAACACCTCTACGATAGAGAACTGTTTGAAGTATAACCCCTTTTTAAACGTCCGTTAGATCCTCAATATTCTCACGGCATTGCCGATTTTAAACGAGGGATCATCTAGAGGTTTATCTTCCATCCCAATGGGTATCATGGAAAAATGGGTGATACTGCGATCGTTTTGTCCGCCGTATCCATAGCAACCGGACATCTCGACTCAGGCGGAAAGCTGCACACGCACACTGAGTCGGGGTGCCAGTCTGCGATTAAAGCTTCCATTATTCTTCCATCCCTCGCGGATGTTAGATCCATAGTAAGCAATAGGGGTAAGTCTTCCTTGGGACACGGGTGGTTATATATCTAAATGAGGCAACCGAGGTGAGAATAGAAGAATGATGAGAGTATATTTACTTAGTATTACTTAACACAGCGTCCTTTACTATAGAAATAGCGTGTTTTAGAATGTTAGCTCCTCCTATCCGTTTCCCCTCCCATCAGAATGGCACAAGGGAACGAGGATGTATTCGTACGTGTCAAAATGCGAAAAAACGGAGACCACTCCTGGTAAGCATAGACGTTTCAGGTGTGTTGACAGCAAAAAAGGAAACCTTAATAGAAACGCCTGTAAGTCCAGGGATCGTGATGCACTCTCGATCAGAGCACCGTGGCCTCTCAAATGTGGATTTCATACCAGAATGCATGGAAGAAGGCGGCGTCTTCTCATCGTCCATGTACGAACCCTTTAGGTAAGACCGAAAAAAAAATCCTTAATCGAAACCGTTTCCCTAGATATATCCTGGCTACCTTTCCGAATTCTCTAGTGTCCTTATGGCAAGGGGCAACGAATGGCTAGTAAGGAATGCCGACTGGGAAGCAGTGACGTGTGAGAGCATGGAGTTCAAAACTTCAGATCGAGTCCGGACAGAGAGTATGACCTATTGTGAACACGGCCAGAGCCGTACTGCTTACATCAGGTACGGGAGAGAGAAAGCCCCGAAGCTTTTTTCCATGATTACGAGAAAAATATGCACGTTTCGGAAGATTCGTTTTCCACTCAATGAGAGGGAAAGAAATATCTCTATTTACGTACCACTTCCCTTGCTTTTCATTGGACAATCGTTAAAATTAACATTCTTTCATGATAGGAGACGTAATAATTATAAAACCGCCCTGAGATAGCGCGGTTGCATGCCTAAAAATATGGATTGCAGGTAAGTACTTGTACAGATAGATGCATGGTCCTGATCAAATCAGCATGGTATGGAATGAGAGAAGTTGATAACAGTCGGAAAAGGCAAATAAAAAGGGATAGATAAATGTAAATCGGTACACCAGTAAGTTGTGCGCCTGGAGAAATAGGGACACCGCGAGCCTTGCCAAGCCGAAGCCTGGACCGACCAGATCGATGACCTTTGACCGAGAAGAGAAAGCAACCCATGATCTCAAGGTGACTCGTTGACTTAATACCAAGAGAACGACTACGAATCACGTTCCTTATCGATCCACCTGATTTTACTACATAGATTGTTACTATCTCGATTTGCTTAAAGGATTTAAATGTTCGGATTTTTTTAACGCTTATTTGGCTTGTATACAACTTCTGCATACCGGTTGCAGGTGTTTGAGGCTGTGGATAAGGCGACGAGACAATTTTGACGAACCTTCCCAGCAGCTTGGCTACGTCAATTGCGTCCCTGATGTTGTGGAGCAGAAGATGTTGGGGAGTCCCAAGTTCTTGCCTCTCAACAGCATGATCTTAAAGATGAATGAGATGTTACGATCGAACCCTCTTCCGGGGAAGATTATCACCATCGAAACCCAGGTCTTTCTCCCTCTACAACTCATGATTCTCGTCCACCAGTTGACGTCTTCAAAATTGTTCTAGTGAGGTTCATACCAGAAAAGCTTCCGTCCAAATTCAGGAGCCCAAATAGAAGGAAATTGGTTAAACTTGAGTTATATCATTTTCCGTTTTGATTGAAGAAATTTACATTTTTACATTGGAAGGAAAGAGTACTAACAATGACGCGCCTGTCTTGCATATCTATTGTTGACCTCCCATCAGCCAGGGGTATATATTCAACATAAGATTCTTTATAATGATAATAATAGACAATAACAAGATGTCACCAAGATGTTCCCGCCGACAATATTTCAAGATCCATTTCCTTTATTTTTCATAGAATAGCTAATTTCATCATTTAAAGTTATTTATGAGTAGGATGAGGGAACTCCTCTTCAGCAGGATCTTTTTCATTGCACTTAAACGAATTTAGCTTGTGCTGATGGCATTCTACTTAGGAAAAAAAGGAAACCACCATTATTGAATGTGGGATATTGACAGCGAAAGCAGTAATTCAATGCAGGAAGTTTTGGACAGGGTTTCCATACTTTGAAACAGGAGATGAAGGTGGACTCGTATTCTGGTCGATTGGATCCAGATCGATCTTATTGGGCGGAGCGTGGAGATGCGCAAAAACTATTTGTGTTCGTTATTCGAATCTTCTTCCAGACCAGTTTCTCGAGAAACGAAACTGGTGAGAGACAAGAAATCGGCATAGTCGATTTCACCCCCATCTGTGAGAAACCCAGCGGCTTCTTCAGGTAATAATAAGAACACATGAACCCGAATGGAGTCTTCCTAATTCAGATGGAATTGTTTATTTTGTCCAATTGAACACCCTAGTCATCCCAAGTACGAACGCTTCAGTAACATGGTCAGAAGAATGTCGGTCTGGTGCCAGGGTCAGAGCAACATCCGAATCACCAACATTCAAAGTGTAGAATACAAACTCAAGCACGGCCAATTGGATACCCAGAGGACGTGGTACACCGAGCATGGGGATGTCAATACGTATTATGTACGGATCCTTCGAGTGGCATTCGTCCCAACCGAAGAAATCCATCTTCCTCCATATACTATTACCTGTCGCACCTTTCAACCTGTTCTACTCGAGCGAGGTAAGGGATCGCTTAAGCATCAATGGTTTTAAGTTGTGGGGGTCCAATCTTTCTTTTTTAGTTCCTGAGAATAAATTATGCGAAAACTACTCTTTTCATATTCCTCCGAAAGGTAAAATATTTTTTATGGTGCCTTGAATATAAAAAAAAATAAATGTTCATGGTATAATTTACTTTTACATTGTAACAGTTCCCGAAATTGAACAGAATGGAAGCATAGACTGAAGTTCATTTCAGCAAGTCATGATTTGTTTATTCCAGGAATGTACAGGGTGATTCAAAAGTCACTCCCTAACTTGTTTTCTTTATATTTCCACTGATTTTGTATATTTGAAGGTGAAATTAGCTCACATGATAGTCAAGTGGTGGGAAAATATTTTGAAACACTAAGCTTTCAATTACGAAGGCACTCCGAATTTCATGAAGTTCCTGATGCCAAAACCTAACGAAACACACGATACATTTGTTAAAATAGGAACTTGGGGACTTGAGAATCCGGGAGTGTTTCGTGGGCATGAACGCGACGTGCTGAAAGTAAATGTTTGGTATGCTCTTACTGCAAAAGAATCTTTGTCCATTTTTGTTTTTTAAAAAAGCGCAAACAAAAAATGTCGATGGTGAAACCCATCATGAAATGCTCCATAATGCTGCATATTACTGAATTAGAGCCCTTAGACCTTGATTAGATCATCTTTCCAACTGAACGGGGCTCTGTATTGTTGCGCGTGCCTGCGATGTGGTCCTTAAACCTCTCCCGATCCATCGGTTAGGAAGAGATGGTTTAACTCCCTGAGTTCCTCGGTCACGTGACCTCACCTCTTTCGACTTTTTCTGTGGGGTTGTGTAAAATGTATGTTATATCATACAATTTAGCAGAACGCATCAGGAATGTAATTGAGGAAATTTCCCTGGATATCTTGTCCTATGTTGCGAATGAGGTTGTTCGGAGGTGGCTGCATTGAAATTGGTGAAATTAATTTTCCCATATTGAAACAAAACTTCCAAAAGTGCCTTGAAGGATGATGCTTTTGGTTTGCGTGAATCTCTTTCGTTCTTGGAGAAATGAATTTTTGAACCGAGTGAGGCCCTTTTGAATGACCCTGTATTTCAATGCAACAATTGCTTCTTTTATCAATAAAAGGAGCTGAACGAAGAAGTTGTTGTCATGTTAATACTTTTTGTATTAATATATGCATATATATTCATTTGAATTTCAAGAGCTTTGATTGTGACTTCTTCCATGGCTCCCATATTTTCTCTAGAAGGGATGTTTACAGCACCGGAATATGAGAGTATGTCCCAGACCAGGTATCGAGTCGCAGCCTGGATGAGATTTGTTGGGGCCACGTTGATCAGCGCTGAAACCTCCGCCATACGATTGGACACTGGTTTGTCTCTGTCTCATTTGAGCATATATCCACACGAATCCTGTTAGCAAAAGGGAAGAAGGGCATGGTTCCAACCCAGGAAGATTGAGTTTGCCATTTTAATGGTTACAGATATGATTACAAATTTAATAAATCTCGGGAAAATATTCAGTTTATAGATTAAGTATAGCACAGTGCAATTCGTTTGGCATCATTGGGCAGTAGGAATTTCGTTGAAATGCAAGCACAAGTGGTGCCTGACCGGGTTCTATTGGTGTCCGCTGCTTCCAAATTAAATAATTTCCAAAGTAATTTATATCACTGCGACACGTGATGTATAATAGTAATGTACAAAGTAAAACTAAAACCTGAGCAGTTTTTTGTTTTAAATGCCGATCGCCTGTTTCTCAAGTCAATCCCAGGCAGTACCTATCATCGGGACAACATTAAGTCAGCGTCGAATAAGCATTGAATGAAAATTAATTCCATAACTTGTGCTCCTCCTTCGCCTCCCGTCGTAGCTGCTGGGAAACTATCTCTTCTTCCCTTCACAAAACATTTTCACCGTAGAGCATTCGTGAACCCTTAGATATCTCTACGTGATTCACTGGTGATTTTCATCATCACCCATCATTAAACTGCCTATCTTCCGAATCACACTTTTCTAGTGCGTGATCTTATTGGGTGGCATTTTTTACTCTATTAAAAAATCAGCGGTCAATCCTCCTCAAATCTAGTGGACTCTTACCGTGTCGAAGGTATGTTGGCCATTTCGTATTCAAGAAGATACGCTTCAGTCGTTGCTAGGGATGGGTTATTGACCAGTCAATTAAAAACATGTCAATTGACCAGTCAATATGGTCAACTATGGTCAATTTTGGTAAATAGGGCCAACTTTTATTTATTTATTCATTCATTTTTTTATTCGTAGTTTTTGGACCATTATGTCCTGACTCACATGTGATAGACTAGGGATGGGAAGTTGACTGGTCAACATGGCCTTTTTAGTCCATTTGCAGAAAATAATGGTTATGAGCCCAACAAGAGGTTAGGCCTTATGACTACATGATCATAAATGACCATGTTGACCAATCAACATCTCATTGCTAAGATAAATTTAATGTTCCAACTCATGCTATCTATTAGATAAACAGTAATGAATCATGTTTCATAGTTAATTTTTTTAGGCATAGGCATAACCCAAGTACTTGTCCCATGATCACATACTTTGAGAATAATTTGATGCTCTGATGCATACTATTAACCAGGACCATGATTGACCTTGCACGAAACTGAAAGTCCTTGAGGCTATAAAACTTTAAACAGCAAGCTATGCCTGCACACACACTCTGCATCACTCAGGTGAAAGGTCATGGTAGTTTGAGCATTTGCTAAAATGTTTTCATACACAACAGGTGCCACAGCCTAGGTGTTTGGCAGGCTGCATGAACAAATCTTGCTGGGGGATAAATGACCACAGTTATGAGCTCTATAAAAAATATATATTAATTCACTGAATTAAAAATATTAGTGGTCAATAATGGTCAAATAAAAGATGGTCAATTGACCGCCCCATCCCTTGTCGTTGCTCATCCGTTTATTATTGTCCAACATATACTTGTCTTTTCAGTTGTCCCTCGTCTTAAATTTCCTGTAACGGGATTTTTTAGGAAGAAATTAAATAGAATTTATTTCATTGAGGAACCGAAGATATAAAAGATAATTTTCTAGATGGAGTCATAAGTTTAATGGCATTAAAAGCCCAACTGAGAATTCTGAGCAGGAAAGTTTCATCCAAGAAAATGGAACCAGACTTTGGAATATTTGATAGAGGAAAAATTGGTATTTCCAGGTGGGGAAAGAAAGATGGGTCCAGAAGCGACATATACCTTCAACGAAACAAGTCAAAGTGGTGGGAGTAGCACGAGCCGACATTCCGTAACCGAACGTTGGATCTACATCATCCGGCTTTATCTGGACGGGGAATACGAGGAGCCGCCCGCAGAGGTCTTGCCACCCGTTCCCAAAATCAAAGAGGATTCCTGTATCATAATCTGAATTTATTCCTCTCATTGGATGGATGAAAGGCCTAAACGTGCAGGTATACCATCAATAGGCTTTGGTCGCCACTTTAACCTTTCTTGGGGCCTGCAGGGGAGTGGTAGCGATCTTCAGTCTTCCTCTTTTTCTATTCTAATTAGAGAAGATCAAGCTTCCAATGGGAATTTTAATTGCTGGGTGAGGATTCGCACTCCCCGTGAAAATTTCCAAATGTATACTGTAAATGTATACAAATGTATATATTTAATTTAAACTGGGCATGTGCATTCGAAGATGCCGTGCTCTGACAGCCCAGAGAGAGAATGTTGCTCTCTCCAAGTTTTTCCAATGCATAAGTTTGTTTGTTAGAAATTCTTATGCAATTTACGAAACGTCAAGCCTCGAAGTTGCTGGTAGCCATGACACCTCAAATATGCACTGCACAGCAGTAACTGAAATACAGTGCTGTACTGAAATCCGGTACATGTTCATAAGCATAAGGAAACCACTTACACAGGTCCTTCTCAGAAGCCCCAATCAATCTTGCAAGCAAGCAATATTACTACCACATCTTGCCATCACATGTCTAACTAGCGGTGAAAATGTCTATTGCTTGACTTTTGCGATTGCTGAAAAATTGTTAGATTTTTCAAGCAGATATTTCAAATTCATTGCCAAATAATATCGTCACCGTCACGAAGAAGCAACGATTCACCCCCATATTGTATTTTTCGGTCAATCAATGAATCTACATCACCAAACTCTTTTTACATACAAATGACGTCATCACCATATTTAATTAATCTAACCCCAAAATCTCCCTCAGTATTTTCATCGGATGCCATGAAACGACCAAATTTATCGAGTTATCACCAAGTCATTGTCACATATCACGTGCCAAAAGATGGACAATTTTCTTTTATAAAGCCTTCATTGGTCTAATTTTCTTTCGTTTCTGTCCAATGGGGAATCTTCAAATGGAGCACTGACTCCCCTGATGTGAATTAACATTCCTAGTGAATGCTTGCAAATACCAGTTTTGATCCAAACTTGGAGCGCTCACAACCCACTTCTTCTCTTTGAGTTCTTCCAAGGCTCCAGTTTTCTGATCAGATATTCTTGGGCATTTCCGAACCTCTTCCCATGTGGCGTTGCCGTCACTGCTGGCAATATAGAAGGCCTCTCCTTGTTTCAATGTCTTCAAAGTCGTTTGTTGCCAAGTCACCTCTAATATGTAGAGCACACAGAAACTGAAAGTCAGTGCCTTACTGAACTCCCATACATGTTCACGAGCACAATACCAGTTACTCAGTTCCCCCCCCCCCGAAGCATACTATCTTGCCATCACAGGTGGAGTTGAGGGGGAGGCCCCCATTGTATAGTCCCGCAGAGGACATAGGTCCCATAGAGAACATTTGTGTATACTCCCATGTACTCACCACCCAAATATCCGAAAGGCGCGGCAGTCATTTGTGTACTAAGTCTGGAGGTCCAAACTTCCTTAAGGAGGGGATAGTGTAATGATATGGATGGCATGGAGAGGCACGATTGAATGTCCTGGGTTCGGTGGTGTAGTGGTAGCACACCTGACCGGCAATCAAGAGGCCTGGGTTCAATTCCCAGCCGTCCCCCGGCTTTCTTTCGTCCTCTCCTGCCATCCAATCTTCCGGCCATTCTCATGACCCATACGTACATTTTTCCCCCTGGGATAATTTCTGGGAAAGTATTCCAACCATGATATATCGGCTTGTAGATCACGAAAAGTACCCTCTTTGTCGTTTGCGATGCAGTCATTAGCAAACATTCACAAGGAATGCTAATTCACAGCTGGGATAGTCAGTGTCCTCTGCCTTGCAGGCCCGCTGAAATAAAATTTTCTTTCTTTTGACGCATGAAATGTGACAAGTATTTGGTGTTGCCTCAATAAAAATTTGGGGGTCATTTCATGGCATTGGTGAAAATACTGAGGAAGAATTTGGTGTAAGATTCGTAAGGTCCGGTGATGAAATCATTTGGTGACGATAATGAGTTTACATCACCGAATTCTTATTGAGTGACAAAATAATAAAATCTGGTGATGAATCAATACTTCTTCGTAACGGAGTCAATATAATTTGACGATAAATTAAATAGGTTACTTTTTAATTCCTATAACACTCCTCGCGCAGTCTTATAATAGTCCCTATTGTTGTCAAACTGATGCAGAGGCCTGTACGGTATTTTTTTTTCCCTTTGTAATGAAGCTCCCAATGTCAACGTTCTGCATGTTCCTTTACATTTTATTAATCAACCCAAGTTTGATCTCGTCGGCAAACATGCCGGCCATTGTTGAACTCTACCATGTGCACGTGCCGTTATTCTTCAGTTAAGTTGGATTATGACTTATTTCAATACCCCTTAATTGCAAGTTTTTTACTTGGTTCATATTGGTAAACTATGTTTTTTTCAGGCATTTTGAGCAGAATGTCTCGTAAGCCATCTGGTTCTCAGTTCAGGAAGAGGCGCGCTTAGAGCAAGAAAAATAATTTCAGTCCATGTCTAGTTCCATGCTAAATTACTTGAAGAAACTAAAGACAATGAAAATCTTGATACGTCTAATGTTTTTGAACCTGTGCTTGTCATTACTCCGACTGCGAAATGAAGGTCGTGACGTTCCAACTGGCAAGTCAGAGATGATCGTCCAAACTCCGACAGCTCTGTTTTCATCAGATGGCGTTGCGCGGGATTTGCCATTTCATGGACATGAACAAGTAGCTAGTCATTTGAAAACGAAACATTTTAGTTTTCTAGAAGCTAGTGATGAAAAAGAGTCTTCTGAATCGCCTGCATCAGAGTCTGAGTCTAGCCTAGAGCGGAAAATCTTCCAGGAAGACAGCCAACATGAACAAGGGCTTCGTCCCATTGCAGGACCAAGTCATGAGCTTCAAAGCAAAGAAACTGAACTCCCTGATTCATATGATCATTATTTCCCACCTGTGGGGCTGTCTGCAACATCGTCCAAAAAGGAAGGATCCTGCGCTATGGCCCGAGGTAATAAATGATGAGGTGAGGAACACCCCTTGTGACGAGTGGACGCTATAAGGTGACCATGATTTCCCAAAATCCGAAGATGGAACGCGGTTTAGGCCATGATCGAAAAATAATTAAACCGCGGGCGACTGAAGTCACTTTTCGCAGCTGAAGGGATACATTTTTAAAGGTAAAGAAGAGACTTCCAACTTTTCGTCTTAAGTGCATGCTATTTAATCAAAATTATAAAGAGAGATAGCGATAGAGATTGAAACCCTCTATACCTTGCGATCGGGATGAATCAGCCCGTCGCGGCTTTTTAATTGTGATTTCATGCCATAACGCTTGGGAGGAGGCGTCAACATATACGAATCCTTCACGTGAGTCCTTATTTTTTTATTATTTATCGAATGCCTATGCGAACGAAGGATTGTCAGGGATTGAAGTCGGGTGGTTGGTGGGTGGGGCCTGGGCATGCTTGTTCAACCATGGAATGGCATCAGCACCAGCGGCCTGCAGAGTGCGTAGGCCACCATGGAGGAAAGTCATTTGCAGTCATCTACTATATGCGTCATTGTTTGGGGCTTGCCGCACGCGCACAGTGGGCTATCAAGCAGTCGCCATCGGTAGTCACAACGCCTGACCAGTCCGAAAGCGGTTTAGACGGGTCCACAATTTCCTTGGAAGGCGGAAGCCTGATGGTTCGACGGAAGGGTCAACTATAGATGAAGATAGGTCTAACTCGACGGTGATTAGTCACCGTCGAGTTAGACCACTCCTCGTGCCAGCGCTGCTGTTCTCCTGGCACAGCTTCGCCTGTTGGTAAGATGGCCCAGAGTGGGCGCCGGGATGGGAGGCGGATCAAAGAGGTCAGAGTGAAGAGGCAAGTCAGGATTTGCTTTCACAAGAGCCATCATCTTTGCTGTGGCAACCTCACGGCGTAGTTTTGGCGGGGCTATGTGTCATAACACGGAGAGCCATGGCATGGGTGTGGATCTTAATTGATGATTGATATAACACCAGTGATGGTACGCATTGTTGTGTTCACCTGTACATCTGAGTCTAGTGTGCGAAGACTGTGCCCAGACCGGAGCGCAGTATTCTGCAGCTGAGTAACACATTGTCATGGCCGTAGTTCGCAGAGTATGCGCTCCTGCTCCCCATGTCGAGCCAGCTAGTTTGCTGAGAAAGTTGTACCGAGTTTTCACTTTAGAGACTGTCTTTTCCAGGTGTTGTCGGAATGTCAATGTACGATCCAGGGTCACACCGAGGTACACTGGGTTTGGATCATGTCGCAGTTGTTGGCCATTTAAGCTCAAAACGAGATCGCGTCTGGCGGAGGCATGGTGCAGGTGGAACACGCTGGACACCGTCTTGGTTGTACTTGGTTGCAGTCGCCATTGTCGGCAGTAGCTTGCAACAGACGCCAGTTCTTTGTTCAAGGTAACTTCCAGGTTGAAGTCGCGTAATTTCGTCAGGGGTAAGTCATTGGTAAAGATGTTGAAGAGAGTAGGGGCGAGTACAGAGCCTTGGGGTAAACCGTTGCGTTGCAGCTTCCAGGAACTGACGCGGTCCCCCATGCAAACTCTAAATCGACGGTTGCGAAGCAGTAGCTCTACCGAATTGACCACCCAACGTGGTAACATCCTTGACAGTTTGGTTAACAACCAATGTGCCATATGGTATCATAAGCTGCTGTCAGGTCTAGGACAACAGCACCTGTCTTCAGTCTGTGCCGAAACCCATTCTCGATGAAGGTGGACAACGCCAGCACCTGGTCACAGGTGCTGCGGCCATGACGGAAGCCGGCCTGATCAACACTTAGGTGGGTGTCCACTAACGGTGTGATTTGTTGGAGGATGAGCCGTTCCAGCAGCTTATTAGTAGACGCTGAGCAAAGAGATTGGGCGATGGCTCGCTGAACAGCAAGGGTCTTTGCCAGGCTTTGGCAATGCGATCACCTTCGCCTTGTGCCAGATCTTGGCATTTGGTAAAGAACTTAGCAAGCC